TTTAATTCACATTTTAGTGGAAAAATACAGAAAACAATGGCTTAAAGATATAAATATCGACGAAAAGAGTTATGAAAATCTATTGAAATCTGAAGATAAAATAAGTGAAAATTAAATGAACCTCATTATCATTTTTATTTCTATGTTATGCAAATACTTTGAGTTTATGACTACCTTTCCATAAACTTATAATGAATTTTTGTATAATAGTAGTTTATACGATTGAAATGTATGTGTTTTATCGCATAAATACTGTTCGACGTAATGCTTATTAAATTTTTTAAACAATTAAAAGTATTAGAATATTAAAATGTAAAAAATAAATAAATTGCAATCAAGCCAGGTAAGCCTAGCCTTAATGAATTATACAATATATCATACACTTACAGTACACATAAACTGTTTTATACCGTAAATAAGTACAGATACATATATTCTTTAAATGCATTACCTTATCCTTATATAAATAATTATAAATGTATTTGTTAGTAATAATTACTTAAAATAAGGAAACATTAGCCTTACTACCATACTTCATTGCTTCGCATTAACAGTAGGATAAATATATCATTAAAAATAAATAAAGAAATAAATTTTTTTACTGAAAAAAATGGGTAAAATTGTAAAACAATTAATTATTTATTATAGTCTTCTAAAAATGTATTTGCTAACAATATAAATTACTTGTCTGACATTAGCTATCTAAATATCTACATTTTTCGATCAAATGAGATTAACCAAATTGTAAAGTGAAAAATAGCTATTTTTATATAAGTTATTAATAAAAAATTTGCTAAAACACCAAATATGAGCGAAAATTCTTCTAACAAAAAGTCTAAGAATTGGTAAACTAAATGTCTTTAAAATATACCATTTATGTCAAGATTTCTAAATAATTTTGGTTACATTTAGTGATCATTTGCCGATCGACGAGTCCATACGCCTTGCGGGCGATGTTTTTGAACATGTCATGAGAAATAACGGCATAGAGGAGGCGTTGGTCACTATTGAGCCCTATTGTGACAAAAGTATTTACCACTGTTTCGTTAGGACCTGGTATCTTATACTGATCGCATTAACAACTATGGAAAAGGTAACTAAATTACCATTAATTTAATAACTATGTACATTATAATGCTTTATTCTATATTTATTTGTGTAAAAAGGACGATGTTCAAAAAGCCAACAAAGGAATTGAGGATATGGTTAAACTGAGTAATAAATATCGGAAAACAGGGTTTATAATAGGCCTCATGAAAATTATTAAAACACCTAATTATGAGAAATACACCGATTGTGAGTATGATTTATTTTATAAAATACCTGTAAAAACTATGGATATATTTTATTTTATTTAAATTAATAAATTAATCCAAAAAATGATTATCAAAACTTATAGATCTAATTTTAACAATATTGTATAAGATTATATTATTTATAAGATTAATTTCTGACAAATTAAACTTATTTTTGAAAATTCTGTTAATATTCTGGATCATATACACTACAGAATATATTATCTTACCTTTCTTATAATATTTTTAAAATAAAATTAAAGTGGAACTACACTCCGAGTTAATACATTCGTATGGATACGCGTGCAGTGCCGTAGTGTTGGGCATTGAAACCCATAGTGTATTCTCATTAATACGAGTCGCGTATAGATTGCAAAAGTTTGTCAACAATTTTCGGTAAATAAACGTAATATTATTTTTAAAAACCTTAAATACATATCAATATAATATATTTCAATATAAAATTCAACATTTATCTAATGAACAGATACTGCAAAGTAATACTGAGAACCCGTTCCCAATGGGAGAGCGAGTCGTCGCGACTTAACTACGAGGCGGCCGTACGCCTGGCCAATGGGGTCTCCCATTTGGTGATCAGTAACGTACCGCCAAAAATACTACGAGTCATCAACTTCTTGGGCATCAAAGGGGTCGAGAAGATTGGATGGTCTAACCTGAATAGAGCCGCTTTTGAATTACCCGGATTATCTAGTCAATTAGCTAGGTTGGCCCGACTATTATACTGGAGCTATATGGAGCCGCATTTATGTCTCGGTCCTATTAACTATGACATATGCAAAGAGATACTCGATAAGGAGCTAGAAAAATACCCTCAAGTTTGTTACCATTCAAATGTAAACTGTTTATTAATTTGTAATAAAAACACCTCTTGTTTGGTCTTGGACGAAAACTTGTACAAGTCCCGTTTTGACCATGTTAATTCGCCGGAAATAGAGACCGCCATTAGCATGTATAACCGGATGATGGCCGACACGGGAATGACCTACTTGCGATTCATATATTTTGAGCTCATGTGGTGCTATGGGCTGGTGGGCGACTGGGATCAGTGTGTGGCGTACGCGCATAAGTTTCGCACCGGTAGTTTATTTTCGCCGGCAATCGCCACTTACATGGAGGCGATCTTTCGGTACACGAAAGCTGTCGAGATAAATGACTCCGATGAGAAACATAAGGCCACCAAACTGTTTGAGTAAATATATATTTTGTGTTTAGTTATGTTTGCAATGAGGGTTATCGTATACTATGTTATCACATATAGAGTGGTACCGGGGCTACGGATCAGACACGTGGGCAAAACCATTACACCGGAAAAGATGGCAATCGTTAGGTCCGAGAAATACATGAAATGCGATGAAATGCTTGTATTGCCTGACGTGGTATATGTCACTATATTTTCTATATAACTTAAACCTACCATATAATACATAGAAAAATAAATTTCAAACATTAAACTAATTTTACATTTTAGGAACTTTTACATGAATTCAATTATTTGCAATGTCTTAGAGGCAACAAGGTACTTTTGCAAAGATTCATGGATAGGATAAGCAAGCATGTGGTGAAATACGAAAGCAATTTAAGTATGAGTTTATAAATGCAACACCTATTTAATTTACAAGCTAGTTAATATAATAACAATAATAATAATTATAAAATCTATTTAACAGCTGAAAGCGATTATATCGACAATTATTTGATGGCCAAATATTTTCAGGGTGTTATTTGGAGATTAATGGGTGAATACGAAAAAGCCAGTAAATGTATAGAGGTTATTTTTGAAAAGTATGTACAATTTTGTCATTTACTTTATTTTAAGATAGTGCACTTAATTATCTTAATTATAATAAAATTTATCTTTTCATCAATAAACCTTAATTAAGTATTATTTTATTAAAAATATTTAAATCCTACATTCATGTAAAAAACTAGCATGTTATCAAATTTTGTCATATGTAAAATTTTGTCATTAATTAATAATATATTATTTATATATAAAATTACCATTAAGTGACGGACGTATTGGCCGCGAATACTCACTGCCGGCTCAGGCGGCTCTGGAAATGGGTTTAATTGAATACGAGTTGAAAAACCACGAAAAAGCCATTGAATTACTCAACAAATGTATTAATGAGTACTCGGGTTATCTGAGCGAAAACATAGTCCACATGCGGGCGTTTGCGGCGCTCAGGGAGTTAGGCGTCGGTAATGAGAAACTGGGCGAGGATGAGACCAAACGTATGTCATCTTATAAACAGAGATATCACTTAATTTACTCATAAGATATTTGTCTATTTCCTGAATTCAGTGGAGGAATATAAGAAGCAATGGCTAAAAGACATCAAAATTGATCGTAAAAAATATGACCAACTCTTGGATACTGAGGAGAAAACTGTTTAAATAATTCATAACTAATTCTAGTTTTTATATTATTTTTTAGATAAACTTTAATGTTTACTTACTATCAACAGTAATATGTCTGCTTATCTTTTAACAAAATTTATAATATTATTTGTTTAGTTGAAATTGAAATTTCTTTTAATTAAAAACTAATCAAATTAAAACCCAATAAAATTAATTGTAAAGGTATTAATTATATAATTATTTGAATGTTGATATTGTTTGTATAAACCACTAACACTTACAATAAGGATATAGTAAACAAATTAATTCATTACTTAAATTCAAGTAATTTACAAGTATTTCATGTTCTTAGTGAAACAATAGTGTATTAATCATTTCAGTAGTTATAAATAGAAATGTCGTGAACAACTAAAAAAAACTATTTAAACTTTTAAACTTGCGGTTTGAATTAAAATTTTAATATTTTAGCCTAACATAAATCTTAAACTCATATTTTGTCTATTTAATTATATTACAATTAGATCTAATTATCACAGTATATATTAACTAAAACATCAAATATGAGCGAAAATTCATCGGACAAAAACTCTAAGAAATGGTAACTAAAAAGTCCAAAACAATATAAATTCTGTTTAATTATATTCCTTACATTCAGCGATCATTTGCCAATCGACGAGTCCATACGTCTTACGGGCGATATCTTTGAACATATCATGAAAACTAACGCTATAGAGGAGGGGTTGATCACCATTGAGCCCTATTGTGACAAAAGTATTTACCACTGTATTCTAAGAACCGGGTACCTTATTCTCATTGCATTAACAACTATGGAAAAGGTGAGCACATTACCATTAATTTATGCACAATATAATGATTTATTCGTGATTATTTGTGTAAAAAGGACGATGTTCAAAAAGCTAACAAAGGAATTGAGGATATGGTTAAACTGAGTAATAAATATCGGAAAACAGGGTTTATAATAGGCCTCATGAAAATGATTAAAACACCTAATTATGATAAATACACCGATTGTGAGTATGATTTGTTTTGTCAAATACCTGTATTAGTTAAGAAATTTATTTTCTTTAAATTTATCAATGGAATCCTTATCAAAACAGATTTAGTATGAATAATATTATGTAATTTATAAAATTATTTTCTAACAAATTCCGTTAATAATCTTAATCACATACAGTACAGAATATATTATTTTACCTTTCTTATAATATTTTTTAATAATATTAAAGTGGAACTACACTCCGAGTTAATACATTCGTTTGGATACGCGTGCAGTGCCATACTGTTGGGCATTGAAACCCATAGTGTATTCTCATTAATACGAGTCGCGTATAGATTGCAAAAGTTTGTCAACAATTTTCGGTAAATATACGTAATATTACTTAAAAACTTCAAATATTATATTATATAATTTATATATCAATAAAATAAACCATTTTAGATTACTTGTCTATGACGTTTCATTATGACTCTTGGGCAAGGGTTACCCTCTCGCTCAGCAGCGCTGAATTGATGCTCCGCCGGCATGCGGACCGGTTACCCCAGAGGGTAAACCACTAGAGTAATATACCGCCAAAAATACTACGAGTTATCAACTTCTTGGGCATCAAAGGGGTCGAGAGGACCGGATGGTCTAACCTGAATAGAGCCGCTTTCGAATTACCCGGATTATGCAGCCAGTTAGCCAGGTTGACCCGACTATTATACTGGTGTTACATTGAACCGCACGGATGTCTCGGTCCAGTCAACCATGAGATATGCAAAGAAATACTGAATAAGGAGCTCGAAAAATACCCTCAAGTTTGTTAACATGATCAATCAATATTAAACTATTTACTAATTCGTTATTATCACCTCATGTTGCCTATCAGAACTTGATCTTGAAGATGTTCAGTGCAAAATTACTACAATTAAGCGGTCAAATAGACACAGCTATCGAGATGTATAACCAAATACTGATGACTAGTCAGATCAATTTCTTGCGGTTCGTATACTTTGAGCTGATGTGGTGCTACGCACTGGTAGGCGATTGGGACCAGTGTATAATCTACGCGGAAAAGTTTCGCACCGGTAGCCTTTTTTCGCCGGCTATGGCCACGTACGCGGAGGCCGTGTTTCGGTACACGAAAGCTGTTGAAACGGACGACTCCGATGAGAAACATAGGGCCACCAAATTGTTTGAGTAAATAAACTTGTTTAGTATTATTTATAATATGTTTTATATAGATTTGTCTCATGTATTGGCTCATTAACAGAGTGGTACCGGGGCTCAGGATCAGACACGTGGGCAAAACCATTACACCGGAAAAGTTGGCAGTCGTTAGGTCCGAGAAATACATGAAATCAAATGAAATGCTTGTATTGCCAGATGTGGTACGATATGTCACTATTTTATCATTACTCACACATACCTCACAAAAATTAATGTTTATCATTAGATTAAACGATAATTAATTGTCCTTTTAGGAAATTTTACACGAATTGAACTGGCTGCTATTTATCAGAGGCAATACAGTATTGTTGCAAAGGTTTATGGATAGGATTAGCAAACATGTGGCTAAATATAAAAACAATCTTAGTATGAATTATTAACATTATAAAAACTAGTTTTTATTGTTTGGAGATAAAAATATTTATTAGTAAAATTTTATAAATACAGATGAAAGCGATTACCTGGACAATTATTTAATGGCCAAGTATTTACAGGGCGCTGTATGGAGGCTAATGAATGAATATAACAAGGCGAGAGAATGCATGCAGGTCATTGTTGAAAAGTATGTTTTGTTGAATTATTACAAATTATATAACCAGGACAATATAACAGTTATACTATAACTTATGATTATAATTCAATTTAAGTGATGGACGTATTGGTCGCGAGTTCTCACTACCAGCTCAGGCGGCACTTGAAATGGGTTTAATTGAATACGATATGAAAAATAACGACAAAGCCATTGAATTACTCAACAAATGTATTAATGAGTACTCGGGTTATCTCAACGAGAACTACGTCCACATCCGGGCGTTTGCGGCGCTCCGGGAGTTAGGCGTCGGTAATGAGAAAGAGGGCGAGGATGAGAACAAACGTATGTTTTATTATAGACATAGATATCACTTAATTGACTCATAAGATATTTGTCTATTTCCTGTATTCAGTGGAGGAATATAAGAAGCAATGGCTAAAAGACATCAAAATTGATCGTAAAAAATATGACCAACTCTTGGAAACTGAAGAGAAACAAGTGTAGTTTACCCTGATAAATTATGAAATTTAATTATAACTATAAATTAATTTAATTATTGTTTGTTGATTGTTAATACAAACAAAAAGTAATTATCATTTTTTGTATACTATGAACTTTTATAATAAATTCTTTTCAAAGATATATTTTTAAATATTTACTTATATTTACTTTGTCTCAAGGTGTTATTGAGCTGTTATATTTTTAATTATTATAAATTAACAATAAGAATCATATTTAATGTATTATAGTAAATTGTATACAATTTAGAAAAATTTAAGAATTACTGTATATTACAACTTTATATTAACATATGAAAAGTTTCATTTACTCAACCAGATTTATTTGCCACTTGGTAAACTTATAACTTAACTTTAATTAATTTAGATAATTTATTTAAAAAACATTAGTTATAAGTTGACTTTAAACTATAAAAAGTGATTTCGTTAATTATAATATACATTTAATAATAAGTAATTAAATTAAAACCTGATATTAGAGATTATAGCTATAGTATAGCTTTAAGTATACATGTCTACGTAAATTATGGTTAATTACAAAATATTAAACATATAAAAGATTTATTAAATATATTATAATTATAGTTTAATCATTTAATGTGAATTACAAGTATATTTAATTAATTTACAAGGAACATGGTCAATATGCTTAGATTCTTACTTAAATATACTTATGATTACTTTGCAGCAGGTAGTCCAAGTGTTTAACTGTATCAGGAATCATAATAATGGGATTAATAATTAAATTTTTTATTACCATTGATTAATTTAATTATCACATTTCTATCAAAATTGCAAATAAAGTATTAATTAATATTTTCAAATGCATAATATAAATTGCACGTGTTTTAAATTAAAAATAATTAGGCAATTTAAGAATATAATTATAATCAATACTATTATATAATATTACACTCATTACTTCAATTATTACTTATTTAGGTACTTTAAATAATTAACACTCAGTGGTATTATTATATAATAGTTACTTAAATGCCTATTAAATATCCATATAAATATTTTAACATATTAGACAACTTCAATATTTTCTTTTCAAACGTATCAATGTTCGTCCATGGACCATCATACCATGGTATAGGGTTATCTTAATTAACACTATATATAATATCACTAATATTCATATGTTTTATTTATTTAACATATTGTGTAGAATTCATTAAATACTATACAAAACGAGACAAAAACCCAATCCATAAATGCTTTCCTATATGTGTTTCACGAGTATTGGGTCGACGAGACGGACAACCGGATTAAAGGCTATCCCTTAATCAATGGCGGGCCCACACAGTTCGCCACAATTATGCTCTTATGGCTGGTGTTTGTATTTGACAAAACAAATCATACTCACAATCGGTGTATTTATCATAATTAGGTGTTTTAATCATTTTCATGAGGCCTATTATAAACCCTGTTTTCCGATATTTATTACTCAGTTTAACCATATCCTCAATTCCTTTGTTGGCTTTTTGAACATCGTCCTTTTTACACAAATAATCACGAATAAATCATTATATTGTGCATAAATTAATGGTAATTTGCTCACCTTTTCCATAGTTGTTAATGCAATGAGAATAAGGTACCCGGTTCTTACAAAACAGTGGTAAATACTTTTGTCACAATAGGGCTCAATGGTGACCAACCCCTCCTCTATACCGTTAGTTTTCATGACATGTTCAAAGATATCGCCCGTAAGACGTATGGACTCGTCGATTGGCAAATGATCGCTGAATGTAATGGAATATAATTAAACAGAATTTGTATTGTTTTGGACTTTTTAGTTACCATTTCTTAGAGTTTTTGTCCGATGAATTTTCGCTCATATTTGATGTTTTTAGTTAATATATACTGTTATAATTAGATCTAATTGTAATATAATTAAATAGGCAAAATATAAGTTTAAGATTTATGTTAGGCTAAAATATTAAAATTTTCATTCAAACCGCAAGTTTAAAAGTTTAAATAGTTTTTTAGTTGTTCACGACACTTCTATTTATAACTACTGAAATGATTAATACACTATTGTTTCACTAAGAACATGAAATACTTGTAAATTACTTGAATTTAAATAATGAATCAATTTGTTTACTATATCCTTATTGTAAGTGTTAGTGGTTTATTCAAACAATATAAACATTCAAATAATTATATAATTATATATACCTTTACATTTAATTTTATTGGGTTTTAATTTGATTAGTTTTTAATTAAAAGAAATTTCAATTTCAACTAATCAAATAATATTATCAATTGTTACAAAATAAGCACACATATTACTGATGATATACTCAGTGTCCTACACAGAAGTGTCCAGGTGGTAAGAGTGAGCATTATTACAGTACTTGTAATCATTTTATTAAAAACTAATCACAAATATCATAACACATGTATGAGTAGGGATTAATAATTACTTATAATGAAAGGGATTATAATAACCTTAATTTAAAATTAAGTATTATTTTATTAAAAATATTTAAATCCTACATTCATATAAAAAACTAGCATGTTATCAAATCTTGTCAAATAATATAACATTAATTAGGATTGACTCTAAAATGGTTTACCTGTAAAAAACATAAATAAATAATGTCTGGCCAACTCTGATATACTGTAAACATTAATGTTTATCTAAAAAATAATATAAAAACTAAAATTAGTTATGAATTATTTAAACAGTTTTCTCCTCAGTTTCCAAGAGTTGGTCATATTTTTTACGATCAATTTTGATGTCTTTTAGCCATTGCTTCTTATATTCCTCCACTGAATACAGGAAATAGACAAATATCTTATGAGTCAATTAAGTGATATCTCTGTTTATAATAATACATACGTTTGGTCTCATCTTCGCCCAGTTTCTCATTACCGACGCCTAACTCCCGGAGCGCCGCAAACGCCCGGACGTGGACTATGTTTTCGCTGAGATAACCCGAGTACTCATTAATACATTTGTTGAGTAATTCAATGGCTTTTTCGTGGTTTTTCAACTCGTATTCAATTAAACCCATTTCCAGAGCCGCCTGAGCCGGCAGTGAGTACTCGCGGCCAATGCGTCCGTCACTTATTGGTAATTTTATATATAAATAATATATTATTAATTAATGTAATATTTTTACATATGACAAGATTTGATAACATGCTAGTTTTTTATATGAATGTAGGATTTAAATATTTTTAATAAAATAATACTTAATTTTAAATTAAGGTTTATTGTTTTAAAGATAAATTTGATTATAATTAAGATAATTAAATGCACTATAATTAGATAAAGTAAATAACAAAATTTAACATACTTTTCAAAAATAACCTCTATACATTTACTGGCCTTTTCGTATTCACCCATTAATCTCCAAATAACACCCTGAAAATATTTGGCCATCAAATAATTGTCGATATAATCGCTTTCAGCTGTTAAATAGATTTTATTATTATAATTGCTATGATATTAATTAGCTTGTAAATTAAATAGGTGTTGCATTTATAAACTCATACTTAAATTGCTTTCGTATTTCACCACATGCTTGCTTATCCTATCCATGAATCTTTGCAAAAGTACCTTGTTCCCTCTAATACATTGTAAATAATTTGATTCGTGTAAAAATTCCTAAAATATAAAATGAGTTTAATGTTTGAGATTTACTTTTCTATGTATTATTTGGTAGGTTTAAGTTATATAGAAAATATAGTGACATATACCACGTCAGGCAATATAAGCATTTCATCGCATTTCATGTATTTCTCGGATCTAACGATTGCCATCTTTTCCGGTGTAATGGTTTTGCCCACGTGTCTAATCCGTAACCCAGGTACCACTCTATATGTGATAGCATGGTATACGATAAACCTCATGGCAAACATAGCTAAACACAAAATATATATTTACTCAAACAGTTTGGTGGCCCTATGTTTCTCATCGGAGTCATTTATCTCGACAGCTCTTGTGTACCGAAAGATCGCCTCCATGTAAGTGGCGATTGCCGGCGAAAATAAGCTACCGGTGCGAAACTTATGTGCGTACTCCACACACTGATCCCAGTTGCCCACCAGCCCATAGCACCACATGAGCTCAAAGTATATGAATCGCAAGTAGGTCATTCCCGTGTCGGCCATCATCCGGTTATACATGCTAATGGCGGTCTCTATTTGGCCGCTTAATTGTACCAGTTTTGCCCTGAACATGTTCAAAAGCAGGTTCTGGTAACAAGAGGTGTTTTTATTACAAATTAATAAACAGTTTACATTTGAATGGTAACAAACTTGAGGGTATTTTTCGAGCTCCTTATCGAGTATCTCTTTGCATATGTCATAGTTAATAGGACCGAGACATCCGTGCGGCTCAATGTAGCACCAGTATATTATACGGGCCAACCTAGCTAATTGACTAGATAATCCGGGTAATTCAAAAGCGGCTCTATTCAGGTTAGACCATCCGATCCTCTCGACCCCTTTGATGCCCAAGAAGTTGATGACTCGTAGTATTTTCGGCGGTACGTTACTAATCACCAAATGGGAGACCCCATTGGCCAGGCGTACGGCCGCCTCGTAGTTAAGTCGCGACGACTCGCTCTCCCATTGGGAACGGGTTCTCAGTATTACTTTGCAATATCTGTTCGTTAAATAAATGTTGAATTTTATTGATATATATTATATTGATATATAATATTTGAAGTTTTTAAGTAATATTCCGTATATTTACCGAAAATTGTTGACAAACTTTTGCAATCTATACGCGACTCGTATTAATGAGAATACACTATGGGTTTCAATGCCCAACACTACGGCACTGCACGCGTATCCATACGAATGTACTAACTCGGAGTGTAGTTCCACTTTAATTTTATTTAAAAAATATTATAAGAAAGGTAAAATAATATATTCTGTACTGTATGTAATCCAGAATATTAACAGAATTTTCCAAAATAAATTTAATTTGTCAGAAATTAATCTTATAAATAATACAACATTGTTAAGATTAGATCTGTAAGTTTTGATAATCATTCTTTGGATTAATTTAAATAAAATAAAATATATCCATAGTTTTTACAGGTATTTTATAAAATAAATCATACTCACAATCGGTGTATTTCTCATAATTAGGTGTTTTAATCATTTTCATGAGGCCTATTATAAACCCTGTTTTCCGATATTTATTACTCAGTTTAACCATATCCTCAATTCCTTTGTGGGCTTTTTGAACATCGTCCTTTTTACACAAATAAATATAGAATAAAGCATTATAATGTACATAGTTATTAAATTAATGGTAATTTAATTACCTTTTCCATAGTTGTTAATGCGATCAGTATAAGATAGAAGGTCCTAACGAAACAGTGGTAAATACTTTTGTCACAATAGGGCTCAATAGTGCCCAACGCCTCCTCTATGCCGTTATTTCTCATGACATGTTCAAAAACATCGCCCGCAAGGCGTATGGACTCGTCGATCGGCAAATGATCACTAAATGTTACCAAAAGTATTTAGAAATCTTGACATAAATGGTATATTTTAAAGGCATTTAGTTTACCAATTCTTAGACTTTTTGTTAGAAGAATTTTCGCTCATATTTGGTGTTTTAGGAAATTTTTTATTAATAACTTATATAAAAATAGCTATTTTTCACTTTACAATTTGGTTAATCTCATTTGATAGAAAAATGTTGATATTTAGATAGCTAATGTCAGACAAATAATTTATATTGTTAGCAAATACATTTTTAGAAGACTATTTATAGTAAATAATTAATTGTTTTACAATTTTACCCCAATTTTTCAATAAACAAATTTATTTATTTTTATTGATATATTTATCCTACTGTTAATTAGAAACAATGAAGTATGGTAGTAAGGCTAATGTTTCCTTATTTTAATTAATTATTACTAACAAATACATTAATAATTATTTATATAAGGATAAGATAATGCATTTAGAGAATACCGCATATGAATTTATAGTTATTTATGCTATAAAACAGTTCATGTGTACTGTAAGTGTATGATATATTGTATAATTCATTAAAGCTAGGCTTACCTGGCTTGATTGCAATTTGATTTAATTTTTGACATTTTAATATTCTAATACTTTTAATTGTATACAAAATTTAATAAGCATTACGTTCAACAGTATTTATACGATAAAACACATACATTTTAATCGTATAAACTAATATTATACAAAAATTCATTATAAGTTTATGGAAAGGTAGTCATAAACTCAAAGTATTTGCATAACATAGAAATAAAAATGAAAATGAGGTTCATTTAATTTTCACTTATTTTATCTTCAGATTTCAATAGATTTTCATAACTCTTTTCGTCGATATTTATATCTTTAAGCCATTGTTTTCTGTATTTTTCCACTAAAATGTGAATTAAAAATAATAAATTAATATTGCTAGTATTGTAGTAATAATAAAGCATACAATTGTGGTCATCAGCGCCCTGTTGCCCATTACAAGCACCCAGCTCCCTTAATACAGCAAAACCTCTTATATGGACATAATTCTCGTAGAGATAACCCGAGTAATCGTTTATGGATTTATTCAATAACTCAATGGCTTTGTCATTGTTTTTCATCTCAAACTCAATGAAACCTAATTCAAGCAATGATAGGGCTGGCAGTGAATATTGATAACCAAGTCGCGATTCACTTGATACGACAAATTATAAGTTAGTTTTGTATACATGAGGTATTATGAAGTTGACAAATAAATCAATTACTTTTCGATAATAATTTGTTGACATTGTTTCGCTTGATTATATTGCGATAGATATCTCAATACAACTCCTTTGTAGAAAATAGCTGTTAAATAGTTATCTAAGTAATCTGATGAATCTATGGTATTAATAAATATAGCAAATTAATCAGACAATAAAAATCTTTGTATTTTTATGTACCCAGATCAGATTTATAGTGATGTTCGCATGTATTAATTCGATCAAGAAATCTATTCAACAATACCGTATCGCCTCTAATACAAAGCATATAATTCATGTCATAAAGTATTGCCTAAATAAATAAAAGTTATTATAATTAGAGAATATACATTAATTATTAATTATCAAGGTACCACATCCGGCAGAATCAGTAGCTCATTATTTTTAATGTAATCCTGTGCCCTCACAATCGCCGCCTTTTCCGGTGTCATAGTTTTGCCCAAATGTCTGATCCGAAGGGTCGGAACAAGTCTTGGATTAAAACAATATTTTATTAATTAATTAATCTTAAGATTTAATTTTAAATATTTGATATTTACTCGAATAATTCAGTTGCCTTTTGTTTTTCATCCTGGTCATCATTAATTGTACTCTTAGCGTATCTGAACACAGCTTCCATGTATGTAGCGATGGCCGGTGTATATAAGCTACCGGTGCGAAACTTTTCCGCATATTCAATGCATGTATCCCAATTAGATTGTAATGCATAGCACCAAGTTAACTCGAAATATAAAAATCGCCTCGGTGTTACATGTGGGTCATTAAGTAATCTGAGATACCATTCAATGGCCGAATCTATTTTGCCATTTAATTGCTCCACTTTTGCCCGAAATATATTTAGCATTAAATTCTTTAATAATAACACATAAAATGATTACACAATTTGTTATAAACATTATTAGATTATATCACAAACCTTAGGATATTTGTTCAGCTCCTTATCCAGTAGTTGAGTGCATATGTCAATATTTATGGGACCCATTCCCCCGTGTGGATCCCCATATGTCCAGTATAGAATCCGAAACAGCCTGGCTAACTGACTGAATAATGCAGGTAACTCAAAAGCGACCTTGTTGAGCTGTGCCCACCCGACACTTTCAACACCTCTGATGCCCAAAAAGTTAATGATCCGTAAATAGAAACCGCCTCATAATGACTATCGGTCCACACTCTTCGGCCACGAGTAAGATTGTGGGGGGAGCTTTCATTCGGAGCTACAGAGTGAAAGGGTAACCCTTGCCCAGGAGTCATAAACAAACGTTTAACTGTTATTCAACGTGTTATTGTATGTACAGTAAGTATGCATTAGAAATAATTAACTTTCAATTTAAATTAATTAAAACATTGACTTTACCTTAAATTTTTGACAAACTTTTGCAACCGATAAGCTAGTTTGACCAAGGCATTTTACAACAATCAAAGCTACCGATTATGGTCAGGTGAGTTCGGATCCGAATTACACACTTAATCGAGTCGTACGTGAAGGTGATTACTCTATAATATCAAAAATATTTTGAAAAATATATCGTAAATTACACATTAATAACTCACAATCAGTGTATTTCTCATAATTAGGTGTTTTAATAATTTTCATAACACTTAATACTAAACCAGTCTTTCGGTATTTGTTGCATATTTTGATCGAATCGTTGACTGATTTTTGTGCCGCTTCTATGTCCACCTTTTCGACGGAAGTCATTGCAGTCATTATGAGATACAGACACCTAATAAAGCTGTGGTAAACACTCTGCTCCCTATAGGGCTCAATAGTGGCTAACCCTTTGACCACATCATTGCTTTCCATCACGTCTTCAAACTCTTCATTCGCCAAACGTATGGACTCATCGATAGGCAAGTGATCGCTAAATACATCATAAGATAAGTAAAATATATTAGTTGTATAGAAATATTTTGTTTATATTGTATTACATACCTTTTCATTTTTGAAAATCAACTAAATAATAGAAAAATTATTGAAACTAATAGTAAAAGATTTTCTTAAGTTTTTTATTTAAATAAAAAAATCTTATATACTAATTAAGCATTAAAATAAAAATAAGTAATTAGGCATAAATATCTATACTTAATTAACGGGTATTAGTTTAACAAAATATAAATTTATGCTAATTACTCTATAATTAATGGTATTAATTTAATAATTAAAATGTACTAATTTGTACACGTGCGATTATGTACTATTTTGTACTAATATTATATTTGTAATGAATCATTGCGAAAGATAAGTAATATAAATTATTATTAAAAAGTTATACAATTACGCAAATTAGTCCAACAACACCTAAATATACAATAAAAACTAATATTTTTATTAATTGGCAAATGCTATTAAATAAGTTTTATTTAATTATTTATACTTAATGTATTATACTTAATACTTAACATTATTTAAAGTATTTTCTATGTGAATAATAATAAAACTTACGAATTTTATTTATAAATAATTCCAATTGATTATCAAATCTACATAATTAATTTAAATAGTAATTGCTTTAGATGCCAATTACAAACATTATTACAAAGCTGATAAGAATAACTTTGGAAAGTTTTATATTACTGTTAAGTAGCATATTAATAATTAATACATGTTCTAGGTAATTTCTAACATAATAACAATACTATGCTAATTAATAATTAGCAAGGCCATGAAATAGTGGTCTGCGCTCTCAATACTTTTTATTTTTCAATTTTGTCTTCGGTTTCCAATACTTTTTCAATTGAAAAAAGCAGTTATAATTACAAAAATTCGGTAACAAAAAACATAAGGAGGTGATTTAGTTAAGTACTTATGTAAAATTGAACTATTGTGTAAAATGTTATGTTTGTATGTAAAGACCAGTAGTGTGCCCTGTTTCTCGGTGAAAAGACCCAGTCGTCTGAGTGTTGCAAATGCTTTAACATGCACATAATTCTCGTTCAATATGGGGCACATCAGTAATTATGTAAACAATTCGTTTAGTTACCGAAATAGTCATAAAAAGTGGAGTTTGAGTTATAATGGTTCGAGTGTCATCCGAACCCGACCTTCTGAGAACTGATTGCCAATACGTGATTCACTTGATAAGGACAGAGATTATTATTTGATGAACGTTTGTAATTAAATTGATTATTAGTTAATAATGTAACAAGTTAAATAATTTGCTTACAGATCAATAGTGAGAACTGATTGCCAATACGTGATTCACTTGATAAGGACAGAGATTATTATTTGATGAACGTTTGTAATTAAATTGATTATTAGTTAATAATGTAACAAGTTAAATAATTTGCTTACAGATCAATAATAATATGTTGACATTCTCTGGCCTTTTCATAATCAGCTAAATGTCTGAATATAACTCCTCTGTAGAAAATAGCCGTCAAATAGTTATCCACGTAATCAGAGGTGTCTATAAAATATCTGTTATTAAAGTATTGGTTAACCTTAATTAGTTTTGATTAATAAATACCCAGTTCACATTTATATAGCTCAACATATTTATCAATTCTCTCCATAAACCTATTTAGTAGAACAGTATTGCCTCTAATAAGTGCCAAAAAGTTCAGATCGTATAGAAATCCCTGTTTTGTTAGTGAAGTAATGAAACGGTATATGAATTTAGATATGATATAAATACTGACCAAATCCGGGACAATCAAAAGTCCATCATTTTTTATGTACTCCTGAGCCCTGACAACCGCCACCTTTTCAGGTGTTATAGTTTTTCCCAAATGTCGGATACGGAGTGTCGGCACAAGTCTAACATTTAAATAACATTTAAATAACATTTTTAAGATTGTTTTAAAAGTTTAGTATCCTTAAGTAAAGTAGTTAAAAATGAATGAGCTTATCAAGTCAACAGAAAACAGATAGTGGGACCAGTAATCAACTACATTAGAAACGCATAGATTTATAGCGAAGGTTCATCCATCGCTAACGGCCACATATATTCGATGGCCACGCTAACTTTTCCGCGTATTCAATGCATGGGTCCCAATTGGATTGTAATGCATAACACATGGTTAGCTCGAAGTATAAAAATCTCCTTGGTGTTACGTGTGGGTCATCCAGTAATCTAAGGTACCATTCAATAGCCGAATCTATTTTGCCATTCATTTGCTCCACTTTTGCCCGAAATATATTCAGCAATAGATTCTTAAGTATAAAAATCGCCTTGGTGTTACGTGTGGGTCATCCAGTAATCTAAGGTACCATTCAATAGCCGAATCTATTTTGCCATTCATTTGCTCCACTTTTGCCCGAAATATATTCAGCAATAGATTCTGTTAAATGTGTAAATAATATACAATCAAAATAAAACACTTATTGTTGAACAGGTATACAAAAGTTATATCCCTTTGAAGAAAACGACAAGGAACATTAAGCCTTACTTTTATATTACTTATAATACTAAACAATACTGTAGAGTATTATTAAAGTATATTTTAAAATAGATATGATAAAAGATATGAGTCGATCCCTGCTGAATTATGTTCTTTGAGATACATTGCTTTATGTTAAAGCAATATCAATAGCAAAAGCTTTATGTAAAAGTATCAGAAAAGTTCTCTGAGAGAACATACTTCTGCAGTGAACAACTCATATATAGTTTCACAAGAAACATATTTCTAACAAAAAAATAGTTAAAAATCAAAATATGAGTTACTTTAGGATATTTATTGAGTTCCTTGTTTATTAATTCCGTACAAAGTTGTACATTTATTGGACCATAACCTCCATGTGTATCACAGTAGCACCAGTAGAATATGAGAAACACGTTTGATAAATGTCTAAATAAACCAGGTAACTCAAATGCTGCTTTGTTAATATTTTTCCAGCCCACACTCTCAACCCCTCTGATGCCCAGAAAGTTTATAATTCGCAGTATTTTTGGGGGTATATTACTGATGACCAGATGGCAGAGACCGTTACAACAGCGGACAGTCGACTCAAAATTAAGTCTCGATGTCTCGCTTTCCCAATGGGAACGGGTTCTCGTGATTATCTTACAATAGCTTTAAATATAATAAACATGATTGGTTACTACAAACAAGTATTAATTTGTTAGCGTTTAAAAGTAAATTAATAACATAATACTATTATATTATATTATTAAAACATATTGAATATTAATACTACTGTATATAATTCCACTACAAATTTTTGTCAATACATTATAATAAAATATGAAATGATCCGTGTTATAAAGGTAATCTTAAAGAATTATGAATGGAAATAATTACTTACTTGATATTTTTAACAAACTTTTGCAAACGATATGCTAGTTTAATTAAGGCATATATGCTGTGGGTTTCGATGCTTAATATACCCGCGCTTATTAGCAAACTCACGGCGTGTACTAATTCAGCATGCACTTCCACTATACATAAATTTTTGTAAATTAAGAATTTTAATTAAAATTTTTTGTTGAATATAAATCATAAAATTATGTTAACTCACAATCGGTGTATTTCTCATAATTAGGTGTTTTAATCATTTTCATAACACTCACTACGAAACCAGTCTTTCGGTATTTATTACAAACGTCTCGCAAACCATTGACTGCTTTTTGAGCCGCGTCTATGTCTACCTGTTATTTAAATTATATTAAATTCTGTTATAAAATATTATGAAAGTTAACATTTTAAACGCCGTATATAATTTGAAGACAAAATTGTTAAAATTTTTATAGTTTAGATTCTTGTATAATACGAATAGTGTTATTAATTTTATAAATACTTTTGTTAAGTTAAATTTAAAACTACATTACAATATGACATACCTTTTCCATGGATGTCATAGCAGTCAAGAGGAGATATAGTGAACGAACCAAACTGTGGTAAACACTTCGGTCACAATAGGGCTCAATAGTGGCCAACCCTTTGACCAAATCATTGCTTTTCATAACGTCTTCAAACACTTCATTCGCCAAACTTATGGACTCATCGATAGGCAAGTGATCGCTAAATACAGTATTAAATGAACAAAATATGAAATATATTGTTTCATAATATTTATAGCATAGAATTATATAGAACCTTTTCATTTTTAAAATAACAAACTTATTTTATTTTCTACTGTTATTATAGAAAATGTGTAGTTTTTATTAAATGAGAGTATTTTATCAAAAAGTAACTTTTAATGTTGCTTATATACATGATTATTTTTAAAATGCATATCAGTAAAAGAAATACAAAATAAAGGTCTGCTTTAATCTTTGAGAACGTGGTTGAAACTGATTGACGAGTAACGTATAAGTGTTTACTAAGATTTTATATGTAGCATACATTGTACTATAAATTACTCATTAGTTTTTTATATAAAAATAAGTTATTAATATTGACAAAAGTAGAAGTATTATTAGTCCCAATTAGTACAATGTATGCTACATATAAAATCTTAGTAAACACTTATACGTTACTCGTCAATCAGTTTCAACCACGTTCTCAAAGATTAAAGCAGACCTTTATTTTGTATTTATTTTACTGATATAAATTAATTTTATAACAATTGATTATTCCAATATATCATTCATGTGAAAGATTTTCCATTAATTATAACATTTTTTTGTTATTCAAATTATAAATACGGCAACAATGGGTTAGAATACAAATATAAAAGGTATACTAAAACAAAGCAATTAAACAAATAGACACGATTCTCAAATACACCCC